GGCAGACTCAGTCTCTCTCTCAATCGTCTCACTTCAGAGACTGTGTCCTGCAGGGGCTGGTGACGAGAGGGTAGCAGAGGCAGGAGGGAAATCCTGCTCTGGGTGCGCTCCTGAAGGAGGTCGTCTTTGGGTGGGGCTGAAGTCTGGGTAGAACTTTGATGGCTGGAAACAAGAGAGCTTCCTGAGCACAGGCCTGGACGAGGACAGTTGCAGGGGGCATCCGGGAGAAGCAGATTGTCTGGTGACGCTGGAGGATGTGATTAAGGGCGTGCTGTTGGTGGGTAAGTAGGGTCAGACTCCAGAGCCTCAACTGCCAACCTGAAGCCATTATACTTTCCCCTGACAGGAAGGGCCTGCAGCAGGGGAGGGGCCCACTCAGCCTGTGGCTCAGAAGGTTCCTCTCCTCTTGGTACCAGTCCCGGAAGTCCCTCACAGCCTGGGCTCTGACTCCCATCTTACAGAAATGGAACAGAGGCCTCCAGAAGGTGGCTAGAAGTGCCCACCAGGCCCAAAGCTCCAAGGGTGTGGCCAGGGTTAGAACTCCCACCAGTGGGCTGGGATGTGGGGAGAGAGGATGTGCTACACTTGGGGGAGGGGTGACACGTTGTGTAGGGTGGGGGGAATGCTGAGGACAGGGTGTGGTTTGCGCTGAAGGCAGTGGCTCCCAGGAGGCACAAGATGCACAGGTCAATTTCTTCATCTGAAAAATGGCCACAAAGAGCTCAGAAGGTCATGCCTGGCCCTTGACATTTCCCCTAACTGTGAGTACCCTGTCCTAACGTTCCCCACCCCACCCCACACCAGCTCAGGGGAGTGCGGCTCCCCCTCCCAGCAGTCCCTCTCTCTAGACGCTGCTCATCCCCCGTTACTCACCCGTGGTTGAAAAGCTGAGGCTTCCCAATGTCCCATCAGGGTCCACCCACAGCTGCCCCACCCTCCTCCTCTTCGCAGCTCGTCTGTTCAGGGCTATCTCCTGCCTGGGGGACTCCTCATCCCCGGAGAATGGTTCAGGCCAGCTGTGTGAGCTCAGATCGCTTCCTGGACCTCTCTGAACCCTAATCTCTTATCTTCTTCTATTTGCTCCTTTCCTTCTTTCTTTCCTCTCCATCTCTCTTCAGCCCTCCCTACATCACCCTTCCCTCTCTCTTGTCACAAAGACTTTTTGAGTGGGACACCACTGGATACCAGAAACGTGTGCCAAATCCCATGGGGTCAGGTGAATAAACTGCCCGGTTGCTGCTGTTAGGAATGTTGGTGACCCTTTGACTGAACCCCTTTCATGGTGCAGGAGGGAGCTGGGTTCTGTGGCCCTCACTACAAGTCCTGAGCTCTGGGGAGTGCCAGGCTGGGAAATTAATACAGGTGGAGGAGAACATGACCCTTTCAAACAGAGAAGGACGGGCCAAGGCAAAACCCATTCTTTCATTTGGAGCAGGGTTGGCTGACATTGGAGGGAACATTACAGCTTGTGGCCTTCCTTCCTCAAAGGCCAAGTATCCTCTTTGAGAGCATACCAACTCTTTCTCTTGGAAGCCCCTGGCCCTCAGCACTGGGTTCTGGGACACCGGGAGCTTGGGTTCAGAGGCTTGGGGACCCCAGTAATGGAGATTCATCACATACCAGGTGCCCAACCTCCATCATCTCAATTGAGTGCTAAGCCACGTCTGAGAGAGAGAGAGATTCTCATTCCCGTACCTATACCCCCACCCCGGCAGAAACTTGAATCTTGGGCTCTTGACTGATGTTCAACTGCCCTGCTCCTTTCTCTGAGCTGCAGGGAGTTTCTGCATCTGTAAAATGGACCGATGACAGTGCCTGTCCCCCAGGGTTGTTTCACAGGGTGTATTCATGAGTTCATTCACCAAGGCCCATTTGACTCAGGGATAAGTATCCACTCAATAAAATGAGTTTATTCTTTGTGTTATGTGCCACATGGGAATGGGAGCCGGAGTGGTTTTATAGCCCCAGTCCATCAATAGGTGTGGAACTTTGTTCCAGAAATGAAGCTTGGTGAGGACACAAGTCTCGGCCCCTCCAGGGCCTTTCCCTGCTCAGGCCTTTGCTTCCAGGACAAGCAGCACAAACCAGCAGGGGAGGGAGGGGCGACCGGAGACTGAGCCCACAGAAGGCTGACTTTGCCTCCTCCTGGCAAACAGGGGCCTCAAAGATCACTTTATGTATGTATGTATGGGTGGACGGACAGACCGATGATGGGTAGATTATCTAGGGTTTTACTCAGGAAAGAGGTGTAGGTGTGTCCCATCTGTCTGGCGGCATCCCCGAATGCCCATACATGGGTGTGCATATACATATATGCCTGTCCGAATATTTGCCTTTTAGTGTGTCTTTGGTGCATGAAGGAGCCCTGATAGCATTATGCTGTGATCAGAAAGGTCTGAAGTTCAAAACCACCAGCCTGCTCCTTAGGAGAAAGACAAGGCCTTTTGTTTCCTGTAAATAATTACAGTCTTGGAAATTCACAAGGGGCAGTTCTACCTGTCCTATAGGGTTGCTATGAGTCCGCATTGACTCGGTGGCAGTGAGGGGTTTTTTTGGAGGGGTGTGTGTGTGTGCATGAGATAAGCACATCGCTCCCTTTCCATTTGAAATGGCATGATTATCTGCACCACATCAGACACTGTGTGGGCATGCATCCCAGTGCATCTGAACACCTGTCCAAATAAAGACTTGTCCTGTGTGTCCCAGTATCCCTGTGTCTATGTCCCAGTGTGTCTCGGTGAATCGAATTGGATTCTGTGTCCAATTAGTGCCTATGTGTCCAGGGCTGTCCAAGTATGTCCCCGTGTGTCTGGAGTGTGTTTGTATCTGAGAGAGAAAGAGAGAGCTAGAGCTAGGGCTGTGACCCATGCCTGGGCACCCATGTCTGGACACCCAGGTGGGCCGGTGTGTCCCGGTCTAACTCTGAGTCTGTTTCCCCAGAGGGTGTTCTATGTGTCTGGGCGTGTGTGTGTTCCTGTGCCCGGTTGTCTCCGCGACTCTCCTTGTAACTAGGTGTTCTGGTCTCATTCATGTCCTGTCCCTCCCTGCCCCATTCCGTGCGCTCCCCAGGGGGCGCCCGTGCCGAGCGGCCGCGCCCGTCTCGTCTCCCTCCCTCGGGCTCCGGGCCCCTGGGTGCGCCCCAGCCGGCGGGCGGCGGGCGTGGGCCG